AAAAAGAAAACCATTGTTTATCATCCGATATGCTTGCGTTTATTATGAGTCAAGGATTAGGAAATCTATTTCAAATAAGGTGATTTTTCGGAGTAAATTCCTCGTCTATCTTTGCTAAAAATAATACCGTAAATTTGATTTTTTATCTTAAAATCCTACTCTTATTATATTGTAAACCAGTCTTATGTAACTTTAAAAAAATTATTGAAACATGTTCAAAAGAAGTTTAGAGGAGGCTGGTCTAAGGTAACTTTCTCGTAAAACTCTTTTACAAGAAACATAATCAAAAGCAAAAGTTCTATTAAACGACCCTTTATTCTTGTCTTAACTCAGCAATAAGGTCTTTTTTTTTTTTTGCTTTTTGAGTTTTACACATAATGATGCGAAATATAAAGTACATGATGTCAAATCTTCTCAAATTAACGGTTGAAATGCAGTACCAGATTGACTAACAACATAAATGTACAAAAGATCAATTTTATATTTTGGTAGTTAATTAATTAGGAATGAAATCAAATGCTGACATTATATTATTACTTATGATTTCTACTGTTTTTATTAGTTGCTAAACTCTTTATGGATTTTCCATCTAATATTTATTTTTTCCATTAAATAGGTTTATTATTTACCAAGTAAGCTCGTAGTTTTACTCTTTAATATTATTGCTTAGGATTCATGGCATGGTACTTGTTGGTTAGTCTTGTCTCTCTAATAAACCTATATATATAGACAGGAGCTGAAGTGATAATGAAACCACCATGTAAGGAGACAGAACATTTCTAGGGTGGCTGTACTTTGTTAGTTATCCTAAACATTTTTCATTGGCCGGTAAGAAATGGGAAGAGGTCGTGCTCCTTGCTGTGATAAAACCAAGGTGAAGAAGGGACCATGGAGCCCTGCAGAGGATTTGAGGCTTATGAGTTTTATTCAGAAGCATGGACATAGCAATTGGCGCTCGCTCCCTAAACAAGCCGGTATCTATCTCTCCCTTTCTCTAGCTCCGTCTCCCTCTCTATTGGCGTGTTAGTGTGCTCGTGTTTATGTTACTTAAGCCGGAGGGTGGG